CTACCTTATATCATGTATACAATCAATTCAATTTAGAGAGAAAATGAACATCCATTCTACCAGGGGAACAGTTAGATGCACTATTGTTCAAATTATCTCACATGAAGAGATGACTGTCACATGAAGATGTTGATTTGATAGAGACTGTGATACATATGGCAGAGTACCCTGGATTTTGTTCTCTAGCAGTTGCACACTGTATTTTCTAGTCTGTGTCTTCTTCTTTCACCAGCCTATGCACAGCTGGCAGATGTCCAGCACTTTGATTGATCATGAATCCAAAAGCATCTCTGCCTTTTAAATCCACACCACTGGATTCTGTTTGCTGAAAAAACCCTGTGCACTAAGTTTGGGGTTCATGTGCACTGAATTTTTTGCATTACAATTAACCTATTTCACCACAATAAGTCAGACTCTTTCTGTTTCCATCAGACAACAGGGATTTCACAATGGGCTCCATCAGTGCAGCAAATGCAGAATTTTGTTTTGACGTATTCAAAGAAGTGAAATTCCACCGCAGCAATGACAACGTGCTCTTTTCCTCCCTGAGCATGCTTTCAACCCTGGCTATGGTGTATATGGGAGCAAGGGGTAAGACTCAATCCCAGATGGAGAAGGTAAGTTACTTACATCAGTGTAAAGGGATCTCTACTTGTGCTACTTGCTCCTTCTAAGTAACATCACTGAAAAAATATGCACTGACGAGGTTCCCACCTGTTTCAATGCACAAGAACTAAGCCAAAGTCACAAAATGGAGAACTGAATCAAGAGGTACATATAGAAAATACTAATAAAAAATGTGTATATTTTCAATATAACAGGCAATTGACTTAAACATTAAAAAAATCTCAGCAACAATAGCAAGATAGATTACCAGTCAGGCAATTTTGTGATTTTTAAATTCTAAGAAGTTCCAAATAACATAATCAGATTTTCTTTTTTAATACATATAAAAGATAAATCCCAGACAGGAAGACAGATTATTTTTAGCAATGCATAATATGTAACTCGATTTCTAGATATTCACTAGAAAAAAAATCATCTAAGCAAAGAATAGTATTTACAGTTTCCAAGAAGGTCAGAGAAGGCATAGACCAGTTTCAAGCTTACCTGTGAATTTTTAGTTAATCTATTTTCTCAGCATCTTTTTTTTTTTTTTTTCCTGAGCCAACAGGTTTTTTACACAAGCAACACATGTAAATCTCAAATTCACATTGGTTTTGGTCATGCTTCTCATGTCTACCACTGGTATTTTCTCTTGCAGGTTCTTCACTTTGATAATGTTACAGGAGATAGAGACATTTCTGACTCCCAGGTACAGAAATAATTTAATCTTCCTTTCTGTCTTACTTTCTCCTCAGAACAAAAGTAGAATTATTCTGCCTCTCCTCCTGGCAGTTTCAGACCCTAAAAAAACTACAATAATGGCCTCAAACCAAGGGGATCTGTGGAGGGAGGGAAGGAGGGTGTGATTCACCTGTTTTTAAACAAACACAGAAAGACAGCAGATTGCTTTTCTTGCACCAGCACAAGTAAGGTGTGAGGAGAATACTTTGGGCACCAGGGTGTCTTCCCAGGCAAGTGCTGCTGGGGGATGAGTGAAGAGGGCTCAGTACCTAGAACCAGGGTTCAGCAGTTTGATTTTCATCTGGGCAGGAAGATGCTGAGCAGAGAAGAGCCCTGAAGTCTCAGCAACAGGAACTCAAATGCATATTTTATACAGAACAGTTAGGGGATTTGTCTTGACAAGGATAATGACTTGCCCATTCAATGCACCACCACCACAGCACTGGCTGTCCCAAAGGTGACAGTCTGTGGGGAAAGACTGCCCTGTAGCATCACTCTTAACTGAAAGGGACGAGACTTAGGATCTTATTTTCTTATGCAATCTAACTTCTTTTTTCATGTCATCACCTCAGTGTGGCACTGCTGAGTACATCCACAGATCATTCAAGGATCTCCTCTCAGATGTCAGCAGGCAAAATGCTACTTACTCACTCAGGATTGCTGACAGACTCTACATTGAAAAAACATACCCTATTCTTCAGGTGAGTCATACTGTGAACTGACTTCCATGAGATTTCCTGTAATTCCCCTGTGACTCTGCCCTAGAGATGCACCACTAACAGTAGCTCACTCTGTTGATGAGGAGGTGCTTGTGAGCCATGAGGGGAACTGGTACAGAATGAATTTGGACTTTTCTGTTCCTGTTAGATGAAGGCAAAAGGTATAATGGCATAAAGTATGTCTAATTTGCAAATCACAGGGAGCAATCAAGATTGCTGTTAATTTACTAGAAAAATGGCTTGTAATTTAAAATGCAATTTTAAGGGAAATTAAATAAACTTTATTACTTGAAATAATGAAAACTGAAATTGTCAGTTTTTCTAGTGAAAGGAAGCCTTGCTTTTGAAATCTAACAATGCGAGAACACAATATTCAAAACCCTAAAGAGTGAACACAAAGACAAGGAGACAAACATTTTCTGCCCTTAGAAATGTTTGTTAAACTGAAACTGTTTTGGTAAAACAAAGGGAATATATAAAAATTTTAACTTGGAACCCTGTCTCATCAAAAAGTGCCAGACCTATATATGTGAAGTAGTCTTTTTTGTACAGCTTTAAGATTTGGTTACAGGAAGACAGATGTGACTGACATGTTCAGCATCTGACATTCAAACCCAGGAGTAAACATTCACTGTTCCTTAAACTATTCTGCTTTATTTCACAATCTTGCTTTAGACATCCATATAATTCCAAGTTCTCATCAGTCTGACATCTGTAACCCTTCTGCTTATAGGAGTACATAAAGTGTGCAAAGAAATCCTACAAAGCAGAGCTGGAAGAAGTTGACTTCAAAACAGCTGCAGAGGAAGCAAGACAGCTCATCAATTCCTGGGTTGAGAAAGAGACAAATGGTAAGGACTGAAAAATGAGTAGCAGGCATTTTCCCTCACTCACCATAAACTATTGTCTTCCTCTCCTCATAACCTCTAGAAAACGGGGTCAAGCAAGTGCAGGTTGCTTACTACTATGAAAATTAAACTCCACAAAGCAGGAACCCCCACCCTCACCCAGTCCCAGAGATTTGTGCATACCAGAGGAGCTGTATCTTATCTCTCTCTGTCTGTCTCTTTCTTAAAGGACGGATCCAAGACTTCCTTGTGGCAGACTCTGTTGATCTCAATACTGTGCTGGTCTTTGTGAATGTCATTTACTTCAAAGGGATATGGAAAACTGCATTTAAAGAAGAACACACTCGAGAAGAGCCTTTCAACGTGACCGAGGTAGGAGGGCAGGGACACACCTCTGGCCGGGGCAGCTGTTGGCTTACACAGCCAGGAGTCTGGATGCCACAAATACCTGTCACAGGTTGGGTGATTTATCTGAGTCCATCTTTCCAATGAAGGGCCTAAAGCCAATTAGTGTTCGCAAGATTTGTGTCTGAGCAGGCTTCCAAGGCACACAAACAGGCAAGAGAGGAAAATGGAGACACAGCTCCTCTCCAAAAGCAGCATGACTGAAGATTGAATCCTGTCCTTTTAAAGGCCTTGTACATTTGTCTGACCAAAGAAAAAGATTGCTCCCACATCACATCACATCACATCACATCACATTTTTGTTTTTGCAGCAAGAGAGCAGACCCGTGCAAATGATGTATCAGAACGGCACCTTCAGAGTGGCAAGAGTGGCTGAAGACAAAATTAAGGTCCTGGAGCTTCCGTATGCCAGTGGCGAGATGAGCCTGCTGGTGCTGCTGCCTGATGACATCTCTGGCCTGGCACAGGTACAGCCCTGGCAGGGCAAGCAGAGGAGTTACGGCTTCAGTGGGGCTTGGCTGCTGTCAGAACTTTTGCTGCCCATTGGCACCAGTGGCTGCCCACCCCACGGCTGTGCTGGGCAGGCAGGGAAGCAAAAAATCTGCCCAGGTGCTCAGGCAGATCCTTTTGGGAGAGTCCTGAGCTCAGTTTTATAGAATGAAGATAAAGTGGTGTAGTGCTGCTGCAGGCCTGCAGAAGAGGATGTTGCTATGTGCACCAATCTCTATCAGGTATCAGAGGCAGGCAAAGTAGCAGAATTTTTGTCACCGTGAGTGACTTCAAATGTTTGCTAAAGATGAAAATTTTTTCCTAGGGGAAATAAAATTGAAAGTGAGGAAGAAATCATTCCAAGAACTGACTAAAAGGATAAAGGGATAAAAGTATCATTAGAAAGGAATAAAGTTGTGGAAAGGGATCAGTAAAATAGCTTCCAAGAGGAGCAGTTTTAGAGTAAATTTGACTTGATGTTTTCAAAAACTGTACTTTTACAAAAAATACTTGATCTGATGAAAAAATTTTCAGATGAAAAAGGTTTGAGGAACTTCCTCAAGACAGACAGATGGTATAGGCTACATAGTCAGGAGGAAGCACACAGGATAAACAAGTACATTTAAAAACAAGTATCAGTTCTGTTGTGTGTCTAAAGTAAATGGAAAAAGCCATTAACAGGTGGTAAAAACACAGCATTTAAGGCCCTTGAACTTATGTCTCAGACATTTCATTCCCTGCTTCTCTTTGCAGCTCGAAAACAAAATCAGCTATGAAAAACTCCTGGAATGGACCAGTCCCAAGGTGCTGGAAAAGAAGAAGGTGAAAGTGTACCTCCCACGCATGAAGATAGAGGAGAAATACAACCTCACATCTGTCCTGACATCCTTGGGTATGACTGACCTGTTCAGCCCCTTGGCCAACCTCTCTGGCATCTCTTCAGCAGAGGGCCTGAGGGTATCTGAGGCCATCCACGAGGCATACATGGAAGTCACTGAAGAGGGCACTGAGGCAGGTGGCTCAGAGGTTGTGACTGGGGACATCCAACATTCCTCTGAGGTTGAAGATTTTAGGGCTGACCACCCATTCCTTTTCCTGATCAAACACAATCCAAGTGACATGATCCTCCTCTTTGGTAGATACTGTTCTCCCTAAGGAGAAAAGGGCTGGAAATAATGCTTGCCTACTCCTAAGAAACAGACCTCCTTTACTCTAGCATTGTAGTATTATCTCATCTCTTCACTGTCTCTGAGTGGAAAGCCATTAATATCTAGGGAGCTATTCCTGAAGAAGTGTGTGACTTTTCAGATCTTTGGGTGCAGATATTTCTGCTTACACAAGTTGTACTTAGGACCTATATCCAGGAATAAATGAGAACTTCAAGAGGTAGCTTAGAAGTATTTTCCATTGGGATTGAATAACTTGAGATTCAGGACCAGTGTTTTGATTCTGTGAGAAATTCTGATATTGAGAGTCTGTTTTTTCTACAGGAGATCTCTGAAATAAACACAGCTTTTAGAATAATCCTGTTCCCCTCTGTTAAACTTGTTGGGCAACCATCCTTGAATTGATGCCTGGACAACTTGCAGATGAAATTCTTAATTTCAGCAAATCATTCTTCTTTGAGTAATGCATTTGTGCTTCTTTGTGCTGCACATACTGTAAGGCTAAGTTGTTGTTCTGAGGGGGCATACAGAAGGTTTACCATTTCTTCTTAAATCATCATCTCCAAACACAACACCTTCCTGACTGATACAATTTTCCATCTTCATTCCTGTGATATGTCATTGATTTTATGAATGTCAATTGTTGGTCCTTCTATTTATTCTAATAAAAGCATTGCAAACTAAACATGTCTCTACCTGTTCCGTGTTACTGCACCACACAACCAATATATATGATATAGTGGGTCGTGGTTATTGACAGAATGCATTTAGACTAGGAATAGATACTATTTTCAAAACCAGAATGTATCCATATATGAAGTAATTCAAGAGCTTAACATTTTTTCCCTAAAATTCTGAATTTAAGTAAGGTAAGCCCTATAGCTCCTATTTTTACCTTGCACTCATCTCCCTGTGACATAACAAATAACTCAGTTTTTTAAATCTGCAATTGGATTTCCACATAGTTTTAAAAGATTTCCTCTAATAGTCCTCAGGAAATACAATGAGGTGATGCCTAAGAGATACAACTTCAAAAACATGAGGAAACGTGGATTGCTATTTTTTTTAAAAGGTGGACTGCTTCAGCTGTCCAATACCCACAAGAACCATGTGAGAAAATCTTTGTTACTGCCTTTTGATAACATAATCCCCTAGAGATATTATTTCCTATTTCAGAGTCTTTAGGGGGAAAGCTCTTCAGGTTGCAGTTTATCCAATTAAAAGATTTTAATGTTAATGTTAATCATTGACTTAAGCAATCTTCCTTCTGCTGGCATACACGTGCAGAGCTGCAAGTCACAGTACTTAAAAAGTGCTTAGAAAAGGGAGACGCTTGGCAGTATTTGGAGCTGTCTCAAACATTTTCGAAGTAAGTATTAAATATAACTTGAAATTAAGATGCTGACTACAGGGAAATGTCTCTTGGCTGCTATGAAGCCTATGGAAGTACTGCAAATCCTTTCTGTCTTCCCAGGGCAGTTTTAAGGGATTAGACACAGTTAACAGAAGTATTCAAGTAAAAATGTGTTCTTACTTATGCTATTTCAAGGATTTCTAAGTATATTATGTTCTGCTTCCCTTAAAACCTAAGACAGCCAAGAGAATTTTGCTACAACTAAAGGAAAAAAGAAAAGAGCGTGATTTATAAAATACTTTTCTAAGAAGAAGAAAGTTTTTAAACATTATAGATCTGTTATTAAACTGAAACAAGCATATCTGACACTCTGCACTTTTTTAGGTATAATGAAAATAAAATTAATATTTACTGAATTATAGAACATGAATATGAAAAAAAATAACTAGTCTCTTGTAATTGTTCCTTTGCTTGATGACTATTTTAAAGAAGAGGAGAAAATAAATGGTAATGAAATGAAGATGAATGAAATAGTAAAAGATTTCCTAAAACTACATATGAGAGAGGTCCACTTAATGTCCTCACTGAAAAAGAACTATTTGACTCATTTTACACTGGGCCATTAGGTGTCACTAGGGATACAAAATGATGTCTCAAGTCTCCTGACAGAGAGACACCTGTTGAAAACTAGGTCTGGGAGCTTAACGTAGGTTCCAATTCCGTTCTTAATTTTTATGCAAGCAGATGATTATGATCAATATACTGAAAATGTAAACCAGTGGTACTAGGCTTGAAACTCAGTAATTTTTGAAGAAAAAGACAGAAATATTATTTGGTGAAAGATCAGAGGCATTTTAAAATGTCTCTGTGTCCTGGAAAAAATATCATCATCAAACACTGTAGAATGGATGTAGCTGTTTTGTTTATGAAAGAGAAACTATCCTCTGTAGAGGCTAAAAGGAGAGGTAGAAATGCAGATTCAGTGAGGCTGAATAAGATCCATACCCCGTATCAATGGCTGGGCCCAGTACTGTGCTTGTGCAGTGCTGGTCTGGGCTGGCAGAACCTGCTGCAAAGACTCTGCCATGGTCAGTGTGGCTGCTGTAGCTCCCATGGAAAGCAATTCTAAAAAGATCAGCGTGGAGGGTGTTACAAAGGGATGAGGGAAGAGCAGCCATGAGGAGAGCAAACTCCACCTGCCTTTTCCTGGCTCTGAAGTCTAGTAAGAGTTTAATAACACGAATCCCAGCTCCCACAAAGTCCTGCAGCCCTTGTTGCTCCCTGGCAGCATCATTGAAGCTGTTATGTCAATGAACTGCTGTATGTCCATTCACTAAAATCCATTTCACATGTGCCATGTTGTTCTGGATTTACTATACTGCCAGGGGTCTGTGGAACAAAACCAGACACACACAGGACAGCATTTGAAATGCTGTGTGAACTAAGTGTGCCTTTCCTTCTTATGTCATTTGGGAAAGGGCTGGAGGTAACATATCTTCCCTGCCCTTTGGGGAATATAAATTTCTGAGACCATTCCACATACCTCTGCATAAATGACTTGTAAGAGAGGCCTGCTGTCTCCTAAGCAAACCAAATCCATGGCTGAAGGCACAAGATTTAGCAGGCATTATGCTGTAACCATAGTCACTAGAGGATGTGCAGAGAACCCCCCAGACTCCAGGGCAGAGCTGTCCTGGGCTCCAAAATGGTACTTGAGGAAGCACAGCATGCTGAATCAAAGTGAAAGCTATATGTCTGCTAGAAAGGCTTTGACACAGAGCAGGGCTTTCTGTTTCTTGTGGCTAGTGAGATAAGATTTATCAAAAGGGAAAAAGGACAGCAGAAAGGGGATTGTCAAAAAGCAGCAAGGGTGGGGCAGCTTGGTAAGGAAAGGGAATACACAGCAGGAGGTGACAACAAGACCAGAAGGGCAGGTGCTTTCACCGGAAGATATTAGATGCTGCAGCTCCCTACACTACTGCTACAGTCTAGTGATTGCCAAACAAGCCTGTGGGAATGAGGTAGGTCAAATATCAAGCCTGCAGGTTAAATCCACAAATCAGGGTCCGTAGTGCTACTAACCAGAACGCTATTGTACATTGAGGAGTTAGTGACCACATAAAAATGGATCTGATCAACTGATCAGTGTGTGCTGTTTTGTGTTAAGTTATGCTGCACACACTGGTTAGTGTCTGGGACTACAGAGTGCTGAACACACCATGTGGCTGGGGGCTAAACTTCATCTGCTAATCATAATGGAGAACCTCATAGATGATCCTGAACTGGCACCCTGTGATGATGCAGCTGGTGTATCCTTGTCTTTATCTTGAAGTGAAGAACTATTTTTCTGTATACTTTCATTCATCAGTAGAACTGATAAACAGAACATACCTGTAAAAGTGTAAAGATCTCAACACTAGTGAACCTCTGCATGCATGGGATATGCACAGTGTGCTGTTGCCTGAATAAAGATCCATCCAATGCTGCACCACTTCAGGATAGGTAGGGACATGCTGCACTGGTAGGGACATGAAATTGTCTATGCTTTCTCCTTTCCCCCTCTCATGTCATTTCCAATAACATGCACTTTAATAATTTTCTTACTAGTGTTCAAAATGAACACTTGCAGTGTCCATCTTGCTGAGGTTCATGGCCAGGCAAAGGCATGCAAACAAGCAAGGACCAGTCAAGAGACACCACTTAAATTCTTCTCTTGAGTGACGGGGATATAGACCCCCATGGAGGCATCTCACAGCACTGACACAAACAGCACCCTGATTCAAAGCTTGGAAGCTGCTTTGCATGTCCCTGAGCCCATGCAGTCAGACTCTTAGGAGAGGGATGATCTCAAGAGCAGAGATTTCTGAAGTCCTGAGTGCTATGGAGGGAGTGACAGAGGTTGGCTATTTGGTATCTCTTCTGACACAGGAACTTAATGGCATTAAAAGAGGTTAGCAAAAAGCAGTTAAAAACCCCCAGCACATAGAGGTAGATGAGAACAAACAGCTGAATGATGGAAATGGTCAAAGAATGTGGAAGATGATAAAATTTCACATGATTTTAAAGGGAGACTGGACAAAACCATGGAAGGGAAATCGGTTGAGAGGTAATAAATATATAGAAAATACCACCAGATATTTAAGTTCCAGGACTGACAACAGCCAGTGTTAGGACCCTGAAAGCACAATCAGTTTCAGCAGGAGATTTCCCCAACACCCTCTGCACATGGGTCTGGAGCCTGTATTGGGTGCTGGCACCATTTGAGAGAGAAGGACATGAACTGTCCTTGGCCAGTTGCAGCAGACCCAGCTCATGCCAGGGCAGTGACACTCCAGAGGAACTGCAGCCTGCTGGTCACTGATGCTGCAGCAAGGACACCCTGTGGAACTGCAGCTCCTGAAGCAGACTAGAGCACAGGATAAAAGTGAGCAGCAGCATCTGGCAGATATAAACAGTTATACACCAATCACAATTTCTTCCATTGCTTGCTGCTTCAGCAAAGGGACTGATGAGCACTGAGTGTAACAAGGAAGCTGAAACTAGTAAGCATAAAAGGAGACTTTTTGTATTGGAGTGAAATGTGGGGAAGCAGGATGAAAGGTCTGTTTGTTTCGTAGTTTATTACATTGATTTTCTCAGCTCCTGAATAAACAACAAAAATTTAATGTTAATCAGCAAGAAATTAAGTGAAATTCCCCAAGTCAAAGCTGTTGCCCACAACAGAAACTTGTTTCAGCCTAGACATAGCACTGAAGTACACTGCAGGTTCCTGTCTCCAGTTCTACCTCCTGACAGACCTCAAAGCCTTGTAGCCTTGTCTCCAGGTCCATCTCTTTTGC